GATACAGAAAGCGTCTCTCGTTTTTGTTGTTGTATTCAATAAAATGGAGGGTAAACGCCACGCTCCTATAGATGTGCGCATGGTAAGTCGCGTTGTTGAGCTAATGTTTGTGGCCAGGTGTCTTCTGCAAAATAAGCTCATAGCTCAGTGGGCTTTACCTGCGAATATAAAATTCTTGTTAGTGATTTGTTTACCGTTCTTATACTTTGCACTCCGATCGTGTTTTTTCTGTATTTTTATTATAAAGTTCTCACCCACCGATACTGTGAAAAAGATCTTTATAGCTCGTCGTATTCCTCCGGTATAAATAAATATTCTGATTTCACTGCGGATGTTACCAGTGAGGAATGCTTTAGTTCTGATTCACACGCTCGTAAAAAGGCCACACTTTTTGCCGAATGTTGAATAACGGAGGGGGCACGTGTTTATCAATCAGAAATGGGTAGATGTATGGATATTGGACTTCTTTTCCACCGTACGTAGTCAACCGTGCTCATCGGAGGTGCGGGGCGAGAGACAACAAACTAAACACAAATAGTAGTTCTATAGAAATTAAGCGTGCAAGCGGTTCAATTGTATCTGGGCCCATAGACTGGATGGACCCAGGCGCTGGTCCTATGAAGAGGGAGGGGGGGTGATTGGACAACGGATGTCCCGTTTTATGTCTTGCACCAGGGCCCATGCCCACCGTGGTACATTACTGTTAGATAGTTTTACTATTTACAGCATGTTTTGAAACAATAAATTGTAGGACCCAACAATCACCTTCCTCCTTCTTCACTCACACTGCTCAGCTTTGGAACGCCCTCCCGTCTTCTCGTTTCTCAAGTGCATTTTGCCTCGCTAAATTCAAGAGACGTGTTAGCTCTTCTTTAACAGATTATCGTGAGTGCTCTCGCTTGCTGCTTTTGAATTCTCTCCCCATTTTCTCAATTCCCAAGTTCCTATAACCTTGCTAAATTAAATAAATGTGTATGTTTGTGTCTGTTGTAATAACGATTGATATCATTCGCACTCTTTGTTTCTGACCTCTTGTATGCATTTTGGCCTAGACTCTGCAACTGTGATTGTTGTTTGTAGTCACAACACTTGGGAATCTGGATGAATCTCGAGTGGCTGCTTGCATTTTAACCCTTAAGCTCGCCATTACTGGATCATTTTGCTGGCAAGCGCATTAAGAGCCAGTTGACCTCACTGGGCATCTCCACTTTGGCACGGATTCCAGCCAAAAAATGCCATTGCAATATCGAGTACTGGGAACTCATGTAACCGCTCCAAACAACTAAAGTCCATGATTATTAAGGAAACTTATTTTTTTATATGAAGGATGATATGGCCAAACCCCATTTGTCATGATTGTTTTGGCATGAGGGTGACAATCGGAGACCCTTCTTAAAATCAAAGTTACAGACCAACAACCCCCTCGGTGGGATAAATGAACAAGCCAACAATTTCTGCAGATAACCAAGTTCTCCACTAGAGGGTGGGAAAGGTCCTCCCAATAAGGAAACCACATAGCATTTGTTTTTGTTATAAGCGACGTCAGGCGTAGAAGGTGATGTATTAATAAGAAAGCAGGTACAACGTGCTCCATACGAGAGTGAGGCTGTTGTAGAATTGTTGTGTTAAGTCTGACTGTGTTGAATTAAAAAAACGTAATCTGCTCAACAATAGCCCTACAGACTCTACTGGAGGTCAAAACAATGTAAACAGGAAACGGGAACAAAAGTGGAAATTCGGGTTGTTTCAAAAGAGATGCACATAAAGAATAGCGGGGGAGGGAGGGAGAGAAAGGGGAGGGGAGGGGGTTGGTTGGGTGAGTGAGCTTGTATGCGCATGGCCTACTTAACCATTGTAATGCGTCCGAAACGTTATTTTGTGCCAACGTAAGAAAACTGGAGTGCAACGGACGACAAGAATGCATCAAAGAGGATGTTCTTGCAAGAACACACAGTAGCTCCTCAAGTCAGAAGAGCATGCACGGCTGCAGATGCAATTGTGGCTCTGATAAATGAATGAGTCGAAGCGTCGCCTCTCGTAAAGTAAACATCTCATCAAAAACCGGTCGCCTTTGTGGAGACAATGCTGTCCGTTCCGATTGCTTGCACGGGAGTTCCATGTTCGATATACCCCTTCCAGCCCAGCCGGTGGAAATTCGTTAAGGAAATTGCCTCGGTTGGCGATTGGGCGGCAGAGGATTCCTCTACACGCGATCTTTTGATTGAGCCGCCCATTAATGTGCCTCTCCCACAGACCCAATTTCACATTTTGATGAGAAAAAAAATGTCAAAACATATATAATTATTAGCACGAATAAATGTTCCCACACACGTGTGGTTTCACAGCTTACCAAAGAAGATAACCCCTCTCACCGGCCTTCACCGAGTTGGGTAAAGCTCTGTACAATGAATATGAAATGAAAATTATCAGCCATTGCTCCATTTTGCCGGTGAAATAGTTTGTTGTGAATCTATGGATTAAAATCAGCGTTTATGTTCATAATACATGCATCGTTAATTTTTTTAACGTATGGATTGATGACTTGCTATATGTGGAAATGTTATGCTAATTATATGTTAATGTCACGTTGTCGGCGAATGGAGCAAGCAAAGCTGTACAAACGAGACACATTAGACACAAAACAGTACAAGGTGGTCCAAATGTCTTGTGACCCCCCCCCCCCCCCCTTTAATTTTCAAAAACTTTTTTTTTATGTAAGGTTTATTTAAAACATACATAAATATGCATAGAGGAGAACAAATGTTCGGGGTCAATTAATTGGGGGGGGGGGGGGTGGTGACGGTGACAAGACGTCTGGACCACCCTGTCCAACAACAAGGTACAAATGAACAAAAAGAGACAAAAACGTGATTTCTTGAACCGAACCTCAACAACAAATCGTGACAACTCGTCGGGTCTCTGGGGGAAGGATGCGGCGGGTGGCGGCGGAAGGTTTAAGTCATTACATGTCTGGTTGCCATGGAGTGTGCAGTTAGCCTGATTTAAGTACCGCTCCCGTGGCTGCTAAATTAAACGCATGGCAGACAAGGCTGCCTCTCCTGCCAGGACCCCAGCCAGCCTCCGTCATCTCTGCTCATCACGCTTCCTTGGCCATGATTCGAAAATAACTGCCGATGCACTGCGCCCCCGCGCAGGCGACATGGCCTCGCCGCCATCTAAGCCACCACCAACAACGGCTGGACCATTCACCCCCCTGTGAATTTTTTTTCTATATATTAGGTATTCATCTTCTTGGTTCTGTCGGTAAAGTCACGTAGAATGGAAATAATAACGTAATACAAATAAAACATAATACAATAATTCTCACGACGTTTCGGCCACAACGCAAGCAGCCGTCCTCAGGTGGAGAACAGGTCTGTCGAGAAGACAGTCTGAATGACAAGCCCCAGGCTTGGAGCGACTATTTAAGCTGGGATGGAGAGGCGAAGAGCGCCTTGACAAAATAATTTGCATATCAAGAGGAATTTAGCATATTTATGGGAAATGCAGATATGCAATTAGTACTACTTGTGAAATGCGTAGGATGTTTGTATTGTTAACGCGTTTTCTCCTTTGTCTTGGGAGTGCAAAGTTGCGCGCCGCGTTCGTTGCGTCTGTCCACGCGCAGGGCACAGGCAGCTTGCGTGCGCCGTGCGATGAACTTTCGTCGCTCGTGCCAACACTCGCGTTAGTGCGATGAGCGTAAAATTATGCACGGCTCAGCCCTTCCGAGCGACATTTAAAATGGCCATGTTTCATACAAGATGTTAACGGCCAAACTGAATATGTCTCTTTCTTGCAAGCCTCAGTTTTGAGTTTCACAGGAAGCACTGTTCACATCTTCTTGGTTCTTTCGGTAAAGTCACGTAGAAGGGAAATAATAAAGTAATAAAAATAAAACATAATAAAATATTATTTTATTATAAATAAAACATAATAAAATATTATTTTATTATGTTTTATTTTAAAATAAAATTAAAAAAACATTTATTCTTTTATTAAAATAATAAAAATAAAACATAATAAAATATTATTTTATTATGTTTTATTATTATTTTATTATGTTTTATTATAAAATAATAAAACATACGTGACTTTTCCGAAAGAACCAAGAAGATGAATCCCTGCAGTCACGAAAGCTTTAAATCGATACTGTTCACATCTTAACACGAGTCCACGTGAAGTGGCTTTCCAGCCGGAGCAGTTGGTGCACTCGCTGCTTGAGCCCGTTCAAATGTTGTCACCAGTCTCTATTGCTGCAACAGCAACCTGGCAATTTTACACTGTCACATTTTTCGTAGGCAGCCACTGGAAATTGTGGAGCTTGAGCTCAGCTTTTGGCTTTAGAGATTTGTGGGTTCCCCTGAGCCAAGGTCTCTATGCTTGGGAGGTCAGCGAGCGGCACACAGGTGCTCCACACATCCTGGTCATGCGTGCAGACTTGGGAGTAGGGCTGCGGGAATTGAAGCGTGCACTCGTCGTGACCAGCCACCCCGGCCTTCCTTCAAAATCCACAACGAACACAGGGCAAAGTACGAAGCGCTCTCTCTCTGCCTTGCTCGCGCATCATGCGGTGACAAAAGTCCTGCCTCCCGCAATGGGGTTCGTTTGGAAATGTTCATGAGTGTCTGCGGTAATCAAAAACAGGCCAGCGAGGGTCAGATAAATTACTGCAGTGGATAATCGAACAACATCGATTTCGGAAGATATTGGGATAATGGAAATCGCGAAGAGGATTAAAGCATCTGAGATCCTTGTAATGATGACAGCGGTGAGAAAAACAGCGGTCGAAAGTTCGTTGATGAATTTTTACAGTGATAGTCATGATGATGATGGAGTCAATGTTGAACACCCTGATGATGAGATCACATAATAAACATTCTTTTGGGCAAAGTTGTTCATTTATACACTCACGATCCTGCATACATCCTCGCAAGCTTCTTAACCTCCCTCCCACTCACACCACCCCAATTCCGCGACCCTTGTTTTTTGATCCGCAGATGTCGTGGCGTCCTCAGTATCGCTGCTCGAAGTTCCGTAACGTGTACGGCAAGGCGGGCGGGCGCGACCACTGCTATGACTCCGTGCCCGTCACGCGCAGCGTCAACGACAGCCACTTCTGCGCCGTCAACCCCAAGTTCATCGGCGTGGTCACGGAGTCGGCGGGTGGCGGCGCTTTCATTGTCATGCCGCTCACGCAGGTGTGACCCCTACCGTAAATCCATTGCCTCGACAATAACAACGCCGTAGACGGAGAAAACAACGTGAAATAAGTGACGTTTTGGGCAATGTGCCTTCTTCATAGTGGAGAGATTTGACTTCTGCTATGAAGAAGGTCCATTGCCTCGATAGCACTACAAATAACAACCACTACCCACAACGTCACCAATTGATTTTTTTTCTTTTCGGGTTGCGTTATTGATAAATATATTTAGATTTTGTAATATATGCTCCACTATCAACGCAGTATCACACGAAACATAGTTTTTCTCCATCCATGGCCCCACAGCGTCTTATGAGTCACCACTACCTCCATCATGTGTTCCCCTTGCGATGTCACAAATCAGCTTGGCTCCTCAAACGGTTCGCAAAAAAAGTATACGTGGCAGAAAATATCGACCACGTTCGTCAATGGTCTTAAGAAGAACTATTGCTCTTTCAAATTTTATACAATTGTATATTTTTTGTAGTATTAGGCAGTGTTGTTCATATCTGTGCTTGTGCACCACTGCCAACTCAGTCACTTGTCTGTATTTTTATCAATATACTATATCAGTTTGAGACTGGAGGCACGGAGTGTAAAGCGCATCATGCCATAAACCAGGCCATCTCTGAGTTCAATTCCTGACTAGGGTTAACATCAGCTGCGAGTGATTTCTTCACCGGTTCACACGTCACTCGCCGCTGGTGTTAGCCGTGGCTGGGAAACGAACTCAGGTCTCGAGGTTCATAGCGCAGTGCAGTTTGTTAACCACTGCGCCACTGCTCCACCCAGCTGAAATAATAACGTAATAAGAAATTAAAAGGCTTACTTTTGATTGTGGCTGTCCTGTACAAACCATTGGCCTTTAAGGAAGCTACATCTCCCAAAAACAAATAGCTCTTGTCCTGTACATATACCGTGCATAACTTGGCTGGTTGATTCGGGATGCCTATTATACTGTAAGTTTGAAAGTTGAGTCGTGCATCTGGCTATATTTTCGTGTTGAACCGTTTGGATTGCGTCTTTGAATTGAAGAGGCGCCTCTGCCTTGCATTGGTAGGATCACTGAAGCCAGGGCTCAGCAATACCGGTCACATTTGCAGTACATCTCACCTGTTTTATCATGCGGGCAAAGCTATTAGTCTATCTGTCTATCTGTCTGTCTTTATCTCTGCTTGTTTAAATATATCACCATTTATCACCCTATATATCTGTTTACTTGGCTGTTTCCCTGTCTATCTGCCTGTCTGATTTCCAGGCTGTCTGACTGTTTGTTTGGCGGAGAACCGTCAACACATCGTCGAAAGAAATGTTACGCAACTCAGCTTGTTGACAATTCAATTATGCCTGCTGCAATCCTACAGCTCAGTGTCACCTGCTATCCTTTAATTTTCCCCAGAAGACAGACTTCTTTCACTGGAAAAGTCTTGCTCGTATTTTCATCGAAGCCATCATTTTGTTGAATGCACCAGGGATGTGGAATCTACGGCCCCGTGGGTCATGTTTGGCTTGCGATTTAATTGCATCCTATCGTGCGTAGACGCATACGCCCTACCACTTCGAAACCACCCATAACATTACATGTATCATTCACTCCAAGCACCTTAGCGTCCTGGCAACATCTGCATTTCTGATTTTAGCACATTCAGTCACTGCTGTCATTTACAAGGGCCTCGTTATGTATGTTTGTTGAACTTCTCTCGCACCGTACGTAGCCTGTTGTGCTAGCTGGAGGTGCGGCTATGTATCAATGTGTGTCCTTACAAAGACAAAAACGTTGCCTTTGTCCTGCAAAATACACTTTTTAAAGTCCAGGCAACGTTCTCCGCCCCCTTGCATGAACACAACTGACAATCTCGTGCATCTGCTGCCACACTGTGGAGTGCCTCGAACACTGCACGCCAGAGGTCACTTCGCCTTTCTGCCGTGAAGCGTCTCGGTTTGTCCCCCGGGGTTGTCTGAGATTTGCGATAATTATCGTCGCGTCGTTCCCCTCCTCGCCCTCCCCGCGTCGCGCAGACCGGCCGCGTGGACCCACTGTGCCCGCGCGTGTGCGGTCACCGTGGGAACGTCCTGGACATTAAGTGGAACCCGTTTGACGACAACATCATCGCCTCATGCTCCGAGGACGCCTCCGTAAGTCGCTCTCGTGTCATCCCCAGGGAGACGGTAACCCCGCGAGGTGATCGTGGATGACGCAATGAACGGTGGGCAATTACGCTTTCATGGAAATATCTAAGCGATTCTTAGCTGGTCTTTTAAGATGTGACGAAAGCTTCATCGGTGTCCCCTCGCTAAGATGCGCGCGAAATAATTGTACTAAAGCTCGACTGGGTGTTGGAGATTTACACGGCGACCAAATGTATGTGAATTGCACTGTTTGAAAATTTTTATCCGGAGAGATGTATCGGGTAAATCTCTGTCAATGGAAACGCATCCGGCTGTGCTCGGTGACGGGGTTTGGATGAGAGGCCGACAGGTTTGACATGACATGAGATCAGAGGGAAATCTATTGGTCGCGAAATAGGAGTGATCTTCTCTCATATGGTTGGTTTCTCTTGGCACCCTGGTTTTCTTTTCATTTGCAAGGAAAATTGGCCAAATAAACCAAGCAGGGACCTCCTAACACAAGAGCCATCAGACTCAGTGATGATTTCATAGGTAAAAAACTCTATATTATTAATAATTATGCAAGTCATAATTCACTCCTGTAGTTACTTAATTAGCTGGTTTGATTCAGTGCCACGATTCAATTAAAATAATATTTTTTTAAATGTGTCTCGATTTTGCCACCTCCTTTGTATCGTTTTTCATTTGTTGTCTCATTAATGCAGTTTAAATCGGTCCACTAACTTAAAATTCACGTGAGAATTGACCTAAATTGAAAAAAAGAGTTTCTGACAAACTCAATTCAATCGATTCCCACATGTACAATTCAACGAATTCATCACGAGCGTAAAGAGTCGATTTTATTAAATGAATCGATACATTGCTGCAAGTCCAGTATTTTTAATGCATCCTTTGTACGCACTGTGCTCCAGATGCCCGTTGTAGAATTAATTCACAGTGATGGCTCCGTGTCGGTTTAGCACCAATGTCTGCTGCAAAGCCCCGGGAGAGTGAAACAAACAAAACGCAGTGCTAATTATAAGCGCACAAAAAGTTACAGTACAATAATCGTACGTCGATGGCATCAGCCCGATTTGCAAAAAACGCTCGCCCGTTAAATTAAGCGCAGAGGTGTGGACATCACTGGGCTGGCGTAGCGCGCCCGGTTCAACCTCAGGGGGTGAGGATGAAATGTTATTTTTAATACACGGCGACTCGTTTCGGGGAAACAAAATTGGTTGCTTTCTTAATTACACGCTGTTAAATGTCTCTAAGATGAGAAAATGTGCACGTTCAAACTGTTAAGAGGAAGCAATTCGTCATGGGCAGGACACGCACGGCACGGCTAGAAGGGATAATGACCGACGGTCAAGGATTTACGACGAAGTGGCAAAACCAAGAGATGGAACGCGTCCGAGAGGACGTCCACCGAGGAGATGGAGCGGTGACGCCAGGTCGTGTGCAGGTGTCAGGTGGATTATTATGAGTGGTGGCATTGCGGTTAGCGCTCCGTGCTACGAACCCGGCGACCAGGTGTCGATTCCCGCTCACGGCCACCACCAGTGACGATTATTTGAACCGCTACCGGGGCTCCCCTAGATCGACTCAACCTCAAATGAGTACTTGGTGCGGTGTGCAAACATTGCCAATAGGGAGACAAAGGCAGCCAGGCGTGGTGCTGGCCACCCAAACCTTTTGTGCCGTGCCGGCCTTCATATGTCCTTGTACAGCACTTGCCCCAACAGTCTGTGAAGGCCATATGGGGGGACGGGGTCTTTTTTTGTCTTTATTACATCGCGTAATCGTTGGAGTTGACGACCACTTTGGCATACTTACATCCGGCACTTGATTTACCATGGCTGACGACGAAAACGGAATACACGTCGGGAATGATGCATTATATACGTGCAATTTAACGCCACTGAAACATGGCATACACCGGGCTGTCTGACAACATGTCTCGGGAGACGGACAGCTGCCCTTTCTTGCCTTCCCCCCGTTGGGGGAGCGTGTCTGCTGGTTTGTCAAGGGCACACTGCACTGTGTCTTGACGTAGGGCAAGCCCAGCGAGGCGGCCGTGCGTGCGTGCGGTGCGCAGGCGAATGTTGACTCCAAACTCGACTCGCAATTTGGAACAGACACATTGCTCATAGGTGCCCATACACCTCAAGGATGCGAATCGGTGAATAAAATGCGATCAACGACTACATTAATGATGAGAAGAAATAATGATGAGGCACGTTCCACTGAAATGTCGTGATGTTTTATTTATATTGGAAAAGCGCACCCTGTGCGTGTCTTAAACTGCCGAATAGGCATTCGCTGTTGTTTTGTTCTCCCCCTTTTAAATATTGATTCCAGTCTCCATACCCTATGCGTTTAATAATTTCGGCTACAACTTTGGCATTAACTATTTTCTCTTTTTTACAAACGTGCATGCGTGTGTTTGTTTTATTTGTACAACACTGTATTTTTTGCACCGTACCTATTGGCACATTTGTGTAAACGTGATGCGTTTTTCACCGACTCGTTTACACGCATCATTGCATGTTCTCCCCGTGGTCGCGTGATTCTTTTTTCTCTGGGCCCTCCGGTTTCTCCCTGCACATTTATAAACATGCATTTAGATCATTTTGGTGCTATAAATGTCCAAATGTTGGTCCCACTTTGCTCAGCTACCATTTGTGGCCAGGTCGCTTCTGAAAAAATAGGTTTTAATACCTCAGTGGGCTTTGCGTTGTAAGATAATGATGCTTTAGTTTAATTCGTATGTGTTTGGGTGATTTGTTTACCTTTCTTGTACTTTGCACTACTATCATGTTTGTGTACTGTTTGTTGTTGTAACGTTACTGGACATCTGTGAAGAAGAGCTTTATAGCTCATCGGATTTCTGATTCAAGTTCGTTTCCCTGAAGAGTTTCCTTCCAGGTCTGCCCGAAAACTACACCGTGCTGTCAATATGACATCTCGCCTCGATATAATTAGATCCGTCGACAACGTATTTGATCCATTATCATTCATAATAAACGTTTTTGGGTTAGATCGCGTTATTTATAAATGTGTCGTAACCCTCCACCACCCGACACGGCCAATCAGCAAAAAAGTGTCACGTTGACAAAAGACAAATAGTTCACTACTTTAGCCCACCGGTATGTTGAAGAGTGAAACCACAACATATATTTTTTTTGAGTAGCACGGCGTTTCGCTGGTAATTGCATCCAGCATCATCGGGCAATTCGCCAGAATGGTGAGGCTCCCCTCTAGCTCCCGGTCTTAAATAGAGCAGCAGCAGCAGGGTGACGTCATCATTAATCCAGTGGATTATTCTTACTTAGAGCCAGCTGTCCAGGATTGGGCAACAGTCTAGGATTGCTGTTGTCGATACATTTATGTGATGCATCTGCTTTATTCACAGGGTTTACTACATTATTTTCTATTACTTATGTGATCGATAGTTCTGATTTGTAAATTTGATTGTTCTTTTTTTATTTTAATTACTCGGGTTGAATGAACATCTGGACATGTGTGAAAAAGAGCATCACAGCTCATCGGATTCCTCCAGCAGATAAATAAATATTCCAGTATAGATAAATATTCTGAATTGTTGTATGAACAAAATTGATCGCGTTCTGAAATTTGACCAAACCTCCAATGGCAGGACCCTCCTGAAGAAGAGTCTTGGTCTTGAGATTCACTGAGGCTTTCCTGGTTAAATAAAGGGAACAATTTTTACCTGTTCATTGGTGTAATTTGATTACTGTAATAAAAGGTAATAATTAAAAAAACAATTGCGCGGCCATTTGTGGGGAGTAGATACAAAAGGTGTGTTGTAAAGTCTTCCAATAAAGCTATCGTTGATTTTTTTTAAAATATGTATATGTGGCTATCATGTTTCTACAAAACTCCCTCATTACATTAATTCCTGGAGTAAAATATCCTCGATTGTTATCGATGAATGTAAACCATTTGATTCCCATACATGTATGCGTGAACCGGATTGGTAAATAAGGTTCGTCTGATACATTTTCTTTTTTAAAAAATCAACCACTTCATTGACCGATTAATTGATTCCTCAATTGCCGTCGTCGTTACGTCTCGTTGCGCGTCGATGGAAAGGTGCGCGTGTGGGAGATCCCGGAGGGTGGTCTCCGTGCCAACCTGACAGCGGCGACGCGAGAGCTGTACGGGCACAGCAGGCGCGTTGGCCTCATCGAATGGCACCCGACCGCGGTCAACATCCTCATTAGCGCTGGCTACGACTACAAGGTGCCCCTCATACCCTCCCCCGCCCTCGACAGCGTCGCTAATCACACGGTTGGCCTGCCACTGCCGAGGCCAAACGGACGCTGCACGGCCGTGTAATGTATGAATGTTGTAATGTGTAAATGTTGGATGTTGTCATGTATGATGTATGTTGTATGTTGAACTTCTTTCCCACCGTACGTAGCCAGATGTGCTCATCCGAGGTGCGCGGGGGAAGGACAACGGACTAAACGCAAAAAGCAGGTCCAAAGGAATGAGTTTTCAATCTAGATGACTTAAAAGTTTCAGTGGCTTCTTAAAATCGGAAGGAAGAGCGTTCCAGACGACCGCAAAAGCGCATCGGCAAGCGCAAGATGCAGTGACCGTCTTTGTTCGATGGCTAGCCAAAAGCCGCTGCTACGAGGATGACCGGAGTTCACGTGATGGTCTATGCTCCTTGACGAGATGAGCAAATCCAGGGCACACACCTCAAGGGGCAGGGCGCCCATCCTGCAGAGACGTGAAACTCCAAAACCGGCTGGGCGAGGTGGCCGAGCGATCGGAGCACGGCGAGTGGATTCGTGAATACGTCTGCGTGAAGCTTGAGCGTTTTGCTAGGTGCTCTGATATCTTTCCAAATGGCAATACAACAAAGTTGCTTGTTTTGACTGTATCTTTGTGGAGTGTTGAGTTTTGGCTCCCTCGTTGTCAGTGGGTTTTATTCGATTTCCACCCGTATGCCAAGCTAATTCCATCCAACGGAATTCCATTAATGGAATGAGCAAAACTTTACAATGTAGAACACCCTTGTGAAAATTAGCCTTGTTACTCAGAGCCTTTCCTGGAAAAACTAAGCACATTTTCACTCGTTTTATCATTATTATATCAAGGGGCCAATCTCATGCATCAAAGCCTCATGGATTAAGGCCATGAATCAATTCAATCAAATCAATCAGTCTCTTGAATGTAAGCGGATACATACTGTAGAGACACCACTGTATATTTCAGAAGAGATTGTGCGCCAAGAAGCACTCGGGATGACGGGTAAACATATTCAAAGAGAGAGAATAGAGGTTGAAAGATACAGGCGAAAATGGCAATGAATATACAATAATGTATTCTTTTATTCAGGAGAGCCTCATTGAACCTCAAGGTTCAGTTAAGGCTCTGACCCTGCCTTGTGCTGTTAGGCCACGAAGGCCAGTTCCTTCCTTGAGACACGTGTACAACTGGGAGGAAAAACAGTGTGCTCAGAGAAAACCTACACATAATACAAGGGGAGAACACTTAAAGTTCCATACAGATACATCAACAACCTATTTGCTGTACTTCCTCTTAGAGTGACCCTATTGCCCTGCAGGTGGGTACATCTACACCAACTGATTCAACTATATTAAAGGCGTGCACCACGATAGCCAGCACATGAATCGATTTAGCTCATGCACATGCCATGAGCTACACTTGATACAGATTTTTTGCTGTGACAGTTTCACCTGAAGACGGAAGCTTGTGTTGCCTCCGAAACGTCGTGATTTTATTGTTTTTATTTTTTTTATTAACTTTTTTATCTACGTGACTTTACCGAAAGAACTAAGAGTATGAATCCTTGCAGTCACGAAAGCTTCAAATTTTGAATGAGCTACATAAAGTTTAGCCGATTAATCGATTGTCACTTAACTACAAAAACCACTGCTAACCCAGTGGCGCTCGGCAGATTCTAATTCATCCCTGACAGGGAATGCATTGGAACATCTGGAACGAAAACGGCACGAGTGCATTTCCTTCCATCATCGTGATATTGTCTACATTTCTGGGATCAAACCATGATCGCGACTCGTATTTTGACGGCATTTCATCAGTCCCGTTATATTCCAATTAAAACATCAAAGTGGACTTGTCTTTTTTCTACAGTGGTTATATAACCTCCAACAACGATCAGAGCCAGTAGAAATTCTAGCAGAACCAGAGCTTCTTTAGCCAAAAATATGCATAACTATCCTGGAATATTCAATGGTGGCTTGGCAGGACACATCAGGTGTTATTACGCTGGTGATGGGTGTGGGTTTTTTGGCTACCTGGTCGATTGTTATCCGTGACTCAAAGAATACCCTGAATGTGCCCAATCTTGTTGGATTTCGGAAGCTAAGCAGAATTCTGCCCGGTTAGGACTTGGATGGGACACTGTATGGGAATATCAGGTGTAATTGCTTGCCAGGAATATGCAAGCACAGTACAGCAATGGATTTTTTAATCTGTCCGTGTGGATCACTGAGTGTTTTTCCCTCAAATGAATGGGTTTTCCATAGGTACTATCATTTCCTCATATTGCCAAACACGCAATAATGGATTTAGCCAAACTTCTCAATGGACGACCCTGCTAATTAATTATTGAGACTCAATAAGGATTTCTTGGTTAAAGAAATAGCATTGTGTTACAATAATTAAGTAATATCACTGCTGTCTCTATGGCCTTAGGGCTGGGGTCACATTGGCTTCAGCCGGGCGATGGCTGCCACTGTTAGTGCGGTTTTTGCCTGCAGCAAAATGCAAGATAAGGCCCCCTCTGAGACCCTCTCGACCCCCATCTGAGGGCCCCTCAGATCTAAGGCGTGGGGTAAACTGCCCCACCTCACTCACCCTCTCTCCACAGCCCCATTTGCTTGGGCCTCTGTGATGTCACCAAGAGCCCACACAGTCGTTCTTCTGTTTAATGCCACTGATGAGTGCCAAAGCAGGGTCTGGCGCTGAAACATTTCATCGGTTCTTTCCTTTTCCCACCCCAACCCATAATATTTTGCATTAATAAAGCTCTCGTATCATTATGAGTGGCGCTGCGGTTATTGCATTGCCATGTGAACCCGGCAATTTCAGCATTATTCTTGGCCACGGCTAACATCAGTGGTGGGTGACATTTGAATCAGTCCTGAATCCTATTGTTCACCAACCTGCATTGATGAATAATTATCAAGGTAAAGTATAACAAACAAAAAACTTGCGTAACCAGAAGTTGATTAGAATGCAGTTTGAATTCATATTGCGCATATATGTCACCACATCTCAAGACGCTGAACAGAAATGGTGGGCATGCTTATTTTAAAGGGCTATAAACAATTATTCTTTATCATCACGATTGTTATCGTTATAGCAGCAAAAATGCATCGCGGAGTCTTATTCCTCTGCGCATGTTCCTGTGCCATCAGGCCCTTCGTGCTGCTAAACGTTCCCACTAAGACCTTAGAGTGTGCCAAGGCTGAGGACAAGTGTCACACCGATAATAACAACAACTCATCCATCTCAGCAGGAGTGACCCCACTGCTCCTTCAGATGCCCCACTGGGCCACAACCTCAGCTACTCCAACAACCTTCCAGGAGTAGAACGAGACCGTGGGTTTCAACTCTTATACTTGGTTTTGGATTTATTTATTTTTACCGAAATTCTTGGCAATGGGCCTTAATTCCCCTGCACCCAGCCATCCTCGCCTCAACTCAAAAAACCGCGCTCATGCCCTCACGCGACCTCCTCCGCAGTGCGAAGAGAGTTGGCCTCTCACCACCAGCGTCGAAACGTCCACAATAGTTAGGCGCGCAACCCTTTACGTTTCATATTTACTCAGATAACAAGTAAATGCCTGCAGGGGTGTGCGAAGCAGCACTTTAAGCATGTGGAAGTGGTCGGTGCGCCCTGGAGGGCCGTCGTGACTCCGGGCTTCGTCCGCTTAGGACTTGAAGCGCGTGATGGGAGGAGCGCGGGGTGCCAGGGAGGAGAGAGTTGACGTGGTGGGAAGTCGGAGCCACAAGAGCGGCTTTATAAGTGTGGGGTTTTAAGAGCACGGGGGGGAGAGAGTATGTACGAAAGCTTAACAGCTCCCCCTGCCTTCTTCCGCTTGTCTTGGCACTTAGAAATTCCACGCGTGTAAACGTTGCGGTGTGCTTTGGGTCACGTCTCAGCGTGGATCAAGGTCACAGAATTGGGACACTAAAAAGTAAAGTGTTTAAGTAAATCAGAAAAATCTCTTGGATTTTAATAAAGGTGAGTTAATGTATTTACATTATAGTGCAGTAATACGACATATTGGCCATCCCCTCTGTCTTCATCGCTTTTGGCTGTGGAGGCCTTCATGAGTCCCAGCAATCGCAGGGTGATTTCATCACTGCACACGTTGTGAAAGCGATCATAAAATAGTCGTCAGTTTCCTGATAAAGCATGAGCCGGAGGTTACGATGTACAAAACGAGACGTTTAGTCTAACCCCATTTGTCTTATACCAAAGGTTCCGCAGCTATGGCATGGAGGATCATGTGTCATATTACTATACTTGTAATTATTATCCTGCAAAATGTTTTATTGTTACTAAGCGATTGAATTCAGACCGAGACCTAAACTCACAGTAACACAGCATCGTCTAATAACCCATTGAAGGAGAAACGTCTGCATCAAGATTTTAAAATCGATGCCTTCTCTCCCTGGAAGAAAATGCTTTTTGTCAATAACAGTCAAGACATGCTCAGATTTCTTTACACTCCGCAGATTAACACCGGGTGGCTTGCTTTTTGAAAGAGCTGCAGTGTATGGTGTTGACATGGTGGGGTTGTTTATGGAGTTACCACATTTCTGGAAAGCTCCAATTTGGACACTTGGGTGAGTTGGAAATATCTCCCTTCATAAAAAAAACTCACCCACTTTTACATAGCCACGCCTACTCCATTACTTCCACAGAGTGAGTGGCTTGGCTTTCCGATGTTGGCCCTATCTACTGCTCACAGTGTTTAGTTTGTTGTCCTTCCCCCGCACCGCCGATTAGCGCGGTTGGTAATGTACGCTGCAAAAGAAATTCAACATACATACATAGGTCCCACCTACTCTATCAATTCCACCCACTACTCAGGTAGCCCTGCCCTTTTCCTGTATCATGAGTCGAGCATGGGGCCAGAGAATTTTAAACTGAGACGAAATTGTGCTTTTTGCAAATGCTTCGGGATACTGGGACATCTTTTTTTCGGAAACCGGGACTGTCCCGGCCAAACGGGGACTTTGGTAGCTTATATTCTTAGATTTTTTTCGGTAAAATCACGTATACAGCAATCGTGCTGTGACGGTTCCATCTGAAGACGGAAGCTTGTGTTGCCTCCGAAACGTCGTGACTTTTATTTTATTTTACTTTTATTAATTTTCATTTTTTACCTACGTGACTTTACCGAAAAAACCTAAGAATATGAATCCTTGCAGTCACGAAAGCTTCAAATCTAGAATTTTGGTAGCTTTATTAACCACGTGGATGTGCGAACTCGGCAGATACTGGTGTGGAACGTGGAGGCAGGCGAGGCAGTGCAGGTCATCGACTGCCACCGTGACGTGGTGCTGTCACTCTCTTTCAACACGGACGGGAGCCTCCTCGCCACCACCTGCAAGGACCGCCGCCTGCGCGTCATCGAGCCGCGCTCTGGTGCCGTGCTACAGGTCAGAGGTCAAGGGTCAGTGAGGAGGAGCCTTTGAGTGTGCTGGCGATGCAACTGTGCCGGGGACTCCAGGCTGGAGGGGCCCGGGCGCCGGGCTACTGGGGTGACACGGTGGCAAAATGTATGCAGGAGGTCGTGAATTCGATCCCGACATCTGTCACCTGTATATTTGGAGTTTGCATGTTCTCCCCCATGGTCGCGTGGATTTTTCTCCGGGTCCTCCAGTTTTTTCCTCTACATTTAGAAACATGCGGTTAGAGTATTTCGCTGATATAAATTTCCACATGATAAGCCACTTCGTTGAGCAATGGTCAGTGAGCATTGCTTGGAAAAATAAAAATAGTTTATACTCTTTGGTTCTTTCGGTAAAGTCACGTAATTAGAAATAAAATAAAACAAATCACGACGTTTCGATTGCAACACAAGCAATCATCATCAGGTGGGAAAACCACCGCAAGAAAAAATTGCTAAAGTGGGAGAAAGAGCTGCCGTGGCAAGAGGTTATATAGGTAAGAAAGGGGGAGGGGCAAGGGGGGAGAGAGAGAGAGTGGGGGTGTGGGGAGGGGAGCGCTGCGTGAGCGCTCGGGGGAGAGAGGACGTGGGGCTGGGGGGGGAGTGGGCGGGGCTGGAAGTGGGAGGCCGAGAGAGCTGGGGATGCGGGGGGGGAAATTAACTCGTAAAAATAGACTAGTACCCGGCAGATATGATAGAGCGTATGGATTCCTGCAGTCACAAAAGCTTCAAATCAAGAACAAATAGTTTAGTTAAATACTTTAATACTGAGAGCAGGTGAAATTGAAGAGCGGACTCCCTCCTCCATTTCATTCCTTGCAGCAAAGCCTGTGCCAGCCATGCAATGTCACTGTCAAGGGCTCTCATAAATTGGATGAATGGATAAATTACCAATAAATAATATTCAATCCAATGTTTTAATCAATAAATGGCCCTTATTTATCCAGGAAGGCTATAGTGGATCTAAATATTATTTTTGAGGAATGCCATCAGTTGATATGTTTAGCCAGTTACTTTTTCATCGTCATTATCATTACTGTCATAATCATTGTCATCTTCAATCTCATCATTGTGATCATCATCATCGTTGTCCCCCTTATGACTGGCTTATGTAAGTACCACCCAGCAAGGCTGTTGGGAAATAAATATGAATAATTCTCCTTTGCAGAGGTCAATCCCCATCAAAAGAACATTGCATTCCCAAACACAAGCCTGCCAGCACGAATTACTCAACACATTCATAAATAACTCTGCCTTATAAAGGGAAAATATTGAGTCGGCGACGTTTCGTGTAATGACCCTTCTTCATTGAACCAAAATTACGTCTCGTATATATTCCCTTGTAAGGCTACAGTGTTATTGGCAAATGTGTTGAGATTTTAGTTTAGTGTGCTTGTGCACCCAATGCCAACGCAGTGGCGTCTCCCATAAAATATTTAATTTTGAAGAGAACAGCAATTAAGAGCATGATACCAAGTGCGGTGAGCATAGGAACACTTTGTCTCTTCCCTTGCAGGAAACTCACTGTAAAACTCACAAGGTGAACCGTGTGGTTTTCCTGGGTAACACGAAGAGGCTTCTCACCACCGGCTCCTCCCGCTGGAACAACCGGCAGATCATGCTCTGGGACCAGGTGGGGGCAGTTCATCTCAGATGTGAATAAAGGCGTTAACAGATTCTACTATTGAACCGGTGGTGCGGTGATCAGCGGATTGTGCGGCAAACCTGGCGATAGCTAACCACAGTGGCGATCAGTGGTATCTGAACTTAAACCTGGGTGCGCCTTCACCAACTCGTTCTGACAAATGCGGTGAAGTATGGTCACACAACCCCAATGATATGTACTGAGCTCTGAGAAAGGACCATTGCCCATGATATTAGCTCATGTTTTCTTAGAAACATAACATCATTTAAATTGACAGTGGTGATACATGTCTTAATGCTTTTTAACCTGATTATCAAAAGCAGTTACGTTGTCTCAGAATACTGCAAGTGCTGACTTGTCAACGTGCAACATTAAGAAGAAATGTTGTCTTTGTTCCTCTTTAGACGGATTGCAATCTTCAACACTGATGCACTGCAGAATATTCTAAAGAAGCCTTCTCTGGTGTAGGCCAATCAGTTTCAAAGAAAATGCATGTTGTTAGAGCATATTTGCATGTTTTTCCACAGGTATGTGTGGTTAATGGAGACTTGATGCCTTGCAATAGGTGTCTATTTTGTGTTTAAAGATATTAACACCTGCTTTATTGCCAGAAAGGGTAAAGCCTTTTCTTCCCCCCCCCCCCCCCCCCCATAATTTTGATACTGGCAAAAAGGTCCCATTAGTACAGTTGGCTATGTACGATACAAAAGAAGTTCAGCATAGATACATTACACAGCTGTGCCAGGAGGGCCACCTTGTAGTCAAAGCCGGCGCTGATGAGGATGTTGACATAGAATATTCTCATAGGTCTAAATCGTGGGATTTCATCGTTGATCTTGTTTTCCGTTCCCCCCGATGACGACCCGAATGCGCTTCGTGTGCGTGGTCGAGCAGGAGGACCTCTCAGAGCCCCTGGTGCAGGAGGAGGTGGACGGCCTCTCTGGGCTCCTCTTCCCCTTCTATGACCCTGACACCCGCATGCTGTTCCTGGCCGGAAAGGTGCGTGCGCCACTGCCACCGCCACACACAACTTTCCAGAGGACCCAGAGGGGCGCTCCAGTGGCAAAGATGTTAACTATCTCGCCTGGTATACAGAAGGTCGTGGGTTGAATCCCGACTGTGATGCCTGTATATTTGGAGTTTGCATGTCTTTCGCTGCGGTCGTGTGTATCTTTCTCCGGGTCCTCTGAGTTTTCGCTCCACATTTAGAAACATGCATTGCTATACATTTCCACATGATGAGCCACTTCTTTGAGATATAATTTGTGGCCAGGTCGTTTCTGAAAAAGAGCTATATTGCTAAGCGGGCCTTAGCTGGTAAATATATATATATATTTCTAATAGTAAGCCAGGGCTTAACTTCAGCCAGGTTTGTCCAGGTTGCCGAGCTGGAGCATATTTTCGCATAGAGTACCGCATCCCCAGTCCACCTCTCGCTTTGGCCTTTGCGACTTGTCAACTTGCCACCTCCTCCGGTCTACCACGTCCTCCTGCATACCAGGCTAAGTAGTTAACATCTCGCCGCAATGGTAAGCTGTCAATGATAATAAGCAAAGCCCAAGGCTCATTGATGTATGTTATAATTATAATTCTATCCTCTAAAGGTGGAAGTGGTCATACAGTCTTTAGCAGACTGAACTTGGTAACACGAGTTCGATTCACATCCACAGCTGTCAGTTGTGAGTGATATCTGAATCAATCCTGGGATACATTCACCAACCCACACTGACCAGCATGATGCATCATCAACGACATAATGTGCGGAACTTTCATCCAGCAGTAGATTAACAAAAAGCTACTTACACATGTAATTTGCTGTACATTGTAATCATGCCTTTCTGAGTATGTGGTGAGGAGGAGTGGTGCAGTGCCTAGTGCACTGCGCTACGAACCCAGCCACCCTAGGTCAACTACTGGACATCTGTGAAATATAGCTTTTCTAGCTCATCGAATTCCTCCAGTACAAATACATATTCTGATTCTGAATTTCCACTCACACCTAACATTGGTGACGACTATCTGAACCAGAACTGGGTCTCACCGAGGTTAGCTCAGCCTTAAATGACTATCTGGTGCGGTGTGTAAACATCAAAATTGGGGGACAAAGGCAGCCGGGCATGGTGCTGGCCACCCACCCCCTTGTAGGTGCTCGCTAACAGCAATTGCTCCAACAGTCTGTATATGCCATATGGAATATCTGTCTTCTTGTATGTGTATGTGTGCTTTGGCCATTTAACAGGGCGATGGAAACATCCGCTACTATGAGATTGGTAGTGACAAACCGTGCCTCCACTTCCTTGCGGAGTTCCGGTCACACTATCCTCAAAAAGGCCTAGGTGAGGCGGTCATCTTTTCAAGTTATGCTTTTTTTTTGTGGTAGAAAATGGTTTGAACGTTGTTTCTTGATTCATATTTACGTGTTCATTTGATGTAGTGTGCAACGTGCATCTGTGGTTTATAAAAATTCTGCATTTACAATTTGATTCCGAGCAGTAATTTACAACGTACAATTTTCTTCTTTATCCTTTTTATGAAATGCGATCTCCACTTTCTTGGTGCTGCATTCCCCTCACATTTTCCCCTTGACACGGCACATTTCGCGGAAGTTTTTAGTAAAACGCGACCCTGCGGTAAATGATCATGAATGCCCCTTTGTATCGCTGCGGTTGTGAGGCAGCAGGCTGCTGCTGTTGTTGTTGTCGTCGTTGTACTTGCCACCGGCTGCGTTGGTAACGCTCGCCGCCGCGCGCCCATTCGTTCCTCCATCACCCCCCTGCCGCAGGGGTGATGCCCAAGCGAGGCTTGGACGTGGGGGCGTGCGAGGTGTTCCGTTTCTACCGCGTCGTGGTCATCAAGGCGCTCATCGAACCCATCTCCATGATCGTCCCGCGCAGGGTGAGAGCCTCGCTCGCCCTCTCTCGCTCGCCCTCTCTCGCTCGCTCTTGCGGCACAAGCACCGTCAGTGGCAGCTTCCCACATTTCTCTTTGCACTTCTTCGTTTCGTAACGGCTGACGTAGATGCAGAGCAACAACTTTCAAATTTCGATTTAAAGCTTTCGTGACTGCAGGGATTCATCTTCTTGGTTCTTTCGGTAAAGTCACGTAGAAGGGAAATATTAAAAATAAACCATGATAAAATAAAAATTCACACGACGCTGCCAAGCTTGGCAGTGTTCATTGGGACGCTGTCTTTCCGACAGCTCTGTTTCTTCACCTGAGGACAGCTGCTTGTGTTGTGGCCGAAACGTCGTGAGAATTTTTATTTTATCATGTTTTATTTGCATTATTTTAGTATTTCCCTTCTACGTGACTTTACCGAAAGAACCAAGAATAAAAACTTTCAATTTCACATTCACTTGGGTCAAGCCAGGCAACCGCGTCAGAAGCAGCGGAGTGTATCATCGCTGCGATGTCTACCTTCGTATTTATGGGTCGGGCATTGCGTCGTTATATGTTGTATAGTCTGTTCTGGATGACCACAGTCACACACTGTGGACAACTTTAAATTTTTAATTTGTGCATCAGGCATCCGCATCTGCCATGGTTTGTGTGGATGCAGTTTAGGGTTGCCCATGAGCTTCATGGAAGATAAAACCCAGGGATCTTTGCAATAATAGTATTATTATACTAATAAAAATCTAATTTACATTCTAATTGTAGAGATGCTGCTGTATCACGATGGTGAGCACAATACACCACGGCAGAGGTCGCCGTTTCGATTTGTTCTCGCGGCACGGCAGGTGAAGAGATTGATCAAGTCTCTGAAAATCCACACGCCTCTGTCCACTCAGTGGTATAAATGGTCACACCGCAGTCAGTTGACTGGCAGGCTGCATGTGGTGGGGTAAAGTGTGCGTTCTCCCACCTCTTTCAAGACGTCTGGCCTGCATGGAAGAGTAGGCCAAATACCCTCCAAAGGAGCTGTCTAGCACTCCCTCTAGTGGATCCCCTTCTGCCCGCAGTGGCGTTGGCAATCAACATTATTTCACGGAACGATAAATAAAATACTTTCAGAACAATCACCACTAGCAGTGCATCAAATTGTGTCAGAGAATAGCCCTGAAATATGACATCACAGAACTGACTTTGAAGTTCCTTGAGTAAATCTCTTTACCTGCACAAAGGACACACCTTTTATATGACCTGCAAAGAATGTGGCCCATTAATCAAACTGAAATGCATATACACCTAACTGGAAACAAAGTCTTTGGTGATTGGCCTGCGATTATGTACTCTCTATGTACTTTAGAATCCGGTTTAACCAGGCAAAAGGCTCTCTGCATGTTGCAGTACCAAGGGGCAATCCAAATTTGTACCAAAAAATGTTGGCGGTTCGGACTCGTGGCTCTGACACAGTATTTGTCACCTGACCGCCTCCAATGATGACTTTTGAGAGTTGTTATTTTGACCACCATCCTAGAAATGTAATTACAAGCATTAGAGGCATTTACAATGTGGGCAGAATACACATCGACACCAGATGTCATGGGCTGCTGCAGTTCAACGTGGACAGCAGAGAGCAGTGTGGAAACTCCATTGTACCGTACTATTCTCCCACAAATATGCTCACCGCCTTCGCCAACACACACTGACCAGCACTCCTACAACCAGCACAGCATGCAGAGGCTCTTATCGTACATAGCCAACCACGCACCTCCGATTAGCGCGCTTGGCTATGCTACGGTGCAAAAGAAACTCAACATATATCCAGCAGTGGATTTGAGACAAGGGCTGTGCATGTACGGCAAGTCTTGTGTCATTGTATTTTTAGTCCGACTCGTACCAAGAGGACCTCTACCCGATGACTCCAGGGGCAGAGCCTTCAATGACGGCGAGGGAGTGGCTGAGCGGAGCGAACCAAGGTGCCACGAACGCACTCCGCGCCTCCGTCAGCGCAGCGCTCGTAGTGTTAACCCTACGTCCGGCGATGCCTGCCAGTTGACTGACAATTCACATGGGGGGGGGGGGGGGAGTGAATTTAATAGATTGGCAGAGGTGAATTTATTATAGAGGCGATGTGTATTGAATATAATTTGCAGAGGTGAATTGAATAAACGTATGTGAATTGAACATCACTAGATAGTGAATTTAGATTCAAGAGATGAATGGCTCACAGGGCTATACCAAATTAATGAAACTGAAGTGGTCAACTGGGCAGGGTAGCAGAGGGGACTTGAAAAGAGAGAGGTTAATGGAATAACATTGCAGAGGTGAGTTCAATGGAAGCTCGAAGGTCACCTGAAGAGAGACACGTGATAATTAAAGTGCCAGAAAGGATTTTAATAGCGTACACAAGTGGATAAACTAGGTTTACACAGGTGAAATAACATCATAAGTGAATTGCATACAATGGCAAAGCGTTGATTGAATAGGATACTAGAGGTGAATTTAATAAAGCATCATGTTAATTGAGAAGCCAACCATGTGATTTACACACAGTAGCAGAGGTGCATTTTATAGAGTAACAGATGCACAGTGAGCAGAAAAACAAGGGTGTGCAGAAGCAGAGGTAAATTCCATAGAATTCACCATTTGACTTTCAAACAAACATGGGGAAAAAACCGCATGTTGTTGCCTCTCTTCGCAGGTCCTGTGCTGATGTCGATGCGAGCAAGCTACAGGCCCCAGCCCCGATCGGGCCTGAGAGCCAGTGGAGTGGGCAGCCGGCCAGAAAGAAAGGGCCTCATAGTTGACGGTTATGACCTCTTGGACAACGCACCTCCCAAGACAGAGAATGAGGCAAGTGAATGGTGTCGACCCCCGCGTGTTTGGCTGCACCACGGCGATTGATGATTACGAAGGGGTGTGCACGTTGCAGTACCAAGGGGCATCTCCTCCAACTCAACTCTCCGCTGGTCAATTATTGCCAGGCTGTCTGACCAGTGTGTACAGGTGCCGTCAGTCATGCAGTTCACCTCCTACTCCCGTCATATTTTACTTTATTCAATTGATGTATGTTACTCTGTTCAGTTCATATCTGCTCAATTAATCTTTTTTATTCTTCAAATTCATCGATGCCAATTCAATTAATGTATTCCTCTATTCAATTCAGCTCTTCATTTACCAAAGGGCGTTATTATCATCAGCCATGATCAATCCACTGCTGGATGAAGGCCTCACCAAACCGACGCCATCTCTCCTGGTTCTGCAATGTAACAAAGCGCAGCACCTGCACACACACCGATGTCATCGCTGCATCTGTGGTGAATGTCGTCTCAGGCATCTCAGCGGTGGATGTCCACTTCAGTGTCCAGAGAAACCCCCACACAAGGGAATCACTCAAATATCTATGCAGATACTTGATGTACTGCCATAAACTGGTCACCATATTGCAGACATTCAAATCTGTATATGTTGTACCATAGCACCTGTGCACGTCGCTTAACATTCTCACGGATTAATTGGATGTATACATTTAGTGTCCTGCAAACCCCTTCACAGCTTCCTGACTTCTATCCCTCCCCTACCACCACTATTCCACAGACCTGGTTTTCATCTTCAGATGTCACAGCCTTCCTCAGTACCGCTTCTCAGTCTTAGGCAGTTGGAGAAGAGGACTTGGCAGTGGTTTGGCTTCATCTCCTTTTCCCATTCTTGCGTGCGTGCCTGCGAGCAGCTCCTCAGGATGTTTTACCGGCAGCACGACGAGATCCGGCGGCTCAGGGAGCAGCTCACGCAACGCGACCTGCGCGTTCGACAGCTGGAACTGGAGCTGCACAACATGCGCAACAATGCCAAGAATGCCTGACCCCCTGAACCGTCTCTCACGACCGCTCACCCACCCCCATCGACCTCACCACCGTGCACTGGCCGGTCCCCTCGGCCTCTTCTATCAATACGCACCGACAAAAATGCCTCGTACTGGTCACCAGTGCCCAGCGCAGTGGGCCGGCAGATTAAATTAAAGCGCAAGCCGAGCTGTGAATGTTTCATCAACCCTCGCCTACCCCTTTGTTCACTTCTATCCTCAACAAGTCACTCGCCTGCTTGCCGTATACTTAAACGTGCAGTGGTTTATCAGCGTTTCTGCTCTCTCCTCCTCCTTCCCCAAATCCTGACCAAAGGTTCTGTGAAGTCACTGCCAATCATATCCCGAATCAACCCCAACCGCTGCAAATTTCTTCCTTCTCTTGAACGTATTGTACAAAGCAATGTTGACACTATAATACCATTTTTTTCTTGTTGTTGCCAGTCGTGTTTTCAGCGGAGTTATTTGCCATGGGGACACAGCGAAATAACTGGCAATGTATATTCTTGGGAAATATTATTTCCCTTCTACGTGACTTTACCGAAAGAACCAAGAATATGAATCCCTGCAGTCACGAAAGCTTTAAATCAAAATTTTACTGGCAATGTGTTTTTGTAAAAATAAGACATCATACCCAAGCGTCGGCTAAATGCGAGTTGCTCTAGCGGCTGCACTTAATAATAGCCTTGCGGTTTTGTGTCCAGTTGGCTTATTGGATTGCCTTATCCTGGAAAGCAAGCGTCGAGGCCGAGCCGCACTCACGTGGGCGGGGGGGGGGCTGTCCCAGACGGTTAAATTATCCCCTGGGACAAGGAGCCCCCCACTCCCTGGGGGGCCCTTAGCTCATTCTTTGCATGGCAGCACAGACGGTCGTGGTCTTACCCACGCTCTGGGTGACCCCGATTGATGCGACCCAGGTCACCGTGACCCACCATCGCTCCGATGAGCAGTGTGGTCTATTTGGAGCGGTGCTCGATTGGGACAACGGCGTTGCTGATCAAAACACGTGGTTTGGTTTTGTATAGATAAATTCTAATCCAAATGAACATGCGACGATTTAGGCAACTTCAGAATTGCAGTTTTCTGCCCAGTCTCGTCGTCTCGCATATCGCCATAGCGTGTCCCAACCAGAACACGCTCTCTCTCTCATGTCGCCATAACTTATTCGTTATCTTGTCCACAGCAGCCACGCTATACTGTGGCAAATGCTATATACTGCGATAGTGCTTTGGTGACAGAAAACACGTATTGCTGTGGTGGTGTATGTGTAATCTATTGGCTGTGGAGAAGAGAATGGGGGCAGAAACATCACGTTAAACAGACAATGCAGTCCACTGCGGCTGTGGGTTTTTTGAGTGAGTGATGTTATTATTGGCCGTGCCAGTGTCGTGAGGATTAATTGACTCCTTAGCAATCGCAGGTCTCTCGTGGCAATATACCGTACTTACTTTTGTAGGCATTTAGCCTTTTACACGCAAAGCACTACTTGATTTGACTTTAGCGAAATCAAATGTAATCATTTACTGTAATGTAAAAAAATACTGTACAAAGCCTTTTTACATATTTTGTTAATCTATAGAATGTATTAGAGCGTTGTTGATTTTGTTTGCCAAAAATGAAAATATATATACGCGGTATAACGAATGACAGGGTAATTCTTCCGTCACGCGAACACGAGCAGTGGCACAAGCACAGGGTGAGGTTTAAATAGCGCTCTATTACCACCGTGTAAAAAAACTCTTTTGAAAGTGCATTGCTGCTGCATAAGATATCAGCAACCCAAGAGCACAGCTCCTGATGTAAACTTTCAAAACGGTGGAACCGTTGCGGCGTTAATGCCACGTTTATCCGGACAAATATTCCGTGATTCATAATTAACGTTTTTTGGTTAGTTCGCGTTATTTATAAATGTGTCGTATAACCCTCCACCACCCGACACGGCCAATCAGTAAAAAAGTGTCACGTTAACAAAATACATAGATCACTACTTTAGCCCACCGGTGTAGTGAACTATTTTTTCTTGTCAACGTGACACTTTTTTACTGATTGGCCGTATCGGGTGGTGGAGGGTTACGACACATTTATAAATAACGCGATCTAACCCAAAAACGTTTCTTATGAATATTGGTCGCGAAAGCCTGCCACGTGTTAAACCAAATATTCCGTGAGTCTGAAGACTCGTTTTGGAGGGCCCCCTTTTACAATCAAACGGGTGGCCAATTCAATTAATGCGGCGTTTGGCTTACGGGGAAGATCAAGAGTAGCCGGCAGAGAAAAAGCAATCACCACACATTGCTTTGCTCACGGATGACGCTCAAAATCTAACGCGCAAATCGATTCTGGAAGACAACCGATTTCCTGCCATATTACCCCACACGCAGCACGAGCGTACAACACCACCTTGGGGTACGGTATTCCCATCGCCGGAGGAGTCAAAACAATTGAAAGGAAGCTCCCCACAGGAGCAGTATTGGAGGTTGCTAGTATTGTGGAGTGGACGAAACGGTGTCCATGATGGCAGCCAGCAATTCCCATGCACGTTTCACCCCTATCAAGGAAACGCGGCCACTTTATAAAATTAAATTCGTGAACACGTTCCTTCGGAGTGGGCAGGTAATGAACACGACAGACAAATAATCCCTGGTGGGCAGTGTGGAACCTGCTGTTCCTACCTGTATTAATGCGGCCTCTTATTAAACATCAGCTTATTCGGGATGAAAAAAGCTGCATCACTGGCTCTACCCCAGGGTTGCGATTTCCGCATGGAAAATGCGGAAGGAGGGTTCAAATTTTCCCGCATTTTTGCTAAAGTCAACCGCAAACGGTGGAAAGACTACTCCTATGACCGCGCGCTTTTAACAACACGTTAATGCGTTCTATTGGAAAGGATACATCATGTACATGTGCTCGTAATCACGGCTCCGCATTTGAATAAAGTATGTGGTTCTTGTGCGGAAATCATATATTCATTCCAATCAGTAACTCAAAGCCCTACGTGATGCTGGGCCTTGCATGTATCCTTTCCAATAGAACGCATTAACGTGTTGTTAAAAGCGCGCGGTCATAGGAGTAGTCTTTCCACCGTTTGCGGTTGACTTTAGCAAAAATGCGGGAAAATTTGAACCCTCCTTCCGCATTTTCCATGCGGAAATCGCAACCCTGCTCTACCCTATTAAATTCCTGTTATAGTCACCCATGGTAATATCCAAGGCTACTGGATACCCAAAGACGAGAACTGCCATAATGCATTTTTTACCTAAGCCACACTTTCCCCCCAGCTTTGACACAAATACACTGAACTTGATAACTAGTGATACATTGTAATGCCCGTACGAGTTTGAGACGGCACAGCAGGTTCCAACTTTGCTGCACAACAGATGCGATAACACGAAACGCACATCACTTGGTAAATGCTGGCATTACGTTTGGCTTACTCATCTCGTGCAATGAGTTGCGGCGAGTCTTAAACATGAGGCTCCACCGTATACCATTTAACGTTGCATAAGCACGCCCCCATGCAACATTGTCACGCAGAGCGACCAAGCAATCTCACTCCAAACTCCTGGTGTTGACGGCTTGCATCTGGTTGCGTATTCGCCATCGCGACATGGGTTTAGAAACGTGTCAAGGACTCTTCCATCGCGTGACCCGAATGGAGATGCGACGTTGCGGCGTCAGGGATATAACCGGCAAATTGCTCCCCGTGTGCTCCTGTGCATCACAAATACATAAAAGACTTGAGAGGGCATATCGCGAGCACCCTTGCAATAACATCGGGGATGCATTTATCTCGTTCTTTTTTTAAAGAGGGGGGCTTAAAGGATCATTGGGCCTGCCGTTGGCTGGCAGTGGTGAAAATGTTTAAAGATACGGCTCGGATGTGATCAACTAAAAGCGCAATCGTTATGCGACTTCTTACCTTAAACTGTAACCTTCCTACCAAAGTGACATTTAACCAGAAAAGCCTCAAGTCCTGAAAATGGGGTTTTCATTAGGCTCGGTTATACTGGGGCATGTTGACAATTCCTATGTTTTTGCATGTGGGAGAAAACATCAACTACGTCGACAGAACAAACTCTATTCGGATAAGGTAAGAAAAAATTGCTGTACTACGACTACCACCCCTTTCAGGAAACTGCCCAGCAGGTTGGGCGTCTTATATCACGTCGTTCCAAGAACCAGATATTCAGGCCTCGCATTCCTCCACGATGCACCTACAATCAGCAAAGTGTTGCACTCGTTTATCACCACACCCTACATCTCATGGTCACAGGTGATAGATTAAGGCAGTCCCAATAACTCCAGATAACCTTGGTATCATGCGTTAAAAGTCAATCAGCATAATCTATTTTTTTGGGGCAAAATATTCTTGGCCATATCACATGGAGTCCCAAGCTTTCAGAATCCAACATTTTGAAGAAACAAAATCCAATAGCAATGTCTATTGCACATGACAATTAACTTCCCAAAACACTGTATGCATAACTTTACAATTGCCAACGTTGTTTGGTCATACACCAACTACATGTTCGCATACATCGTACCTCACTTCCCAATTTGTCTCAACAGCAAAATGCTACCTGCATCTCGTCTTGGAAACGGATGTCAGTCTGCCCCCGTTAGTTACGTTGAAAATATGCTGCGGCCAAAAGGTAGACGGTTACCCACTTGCCTGTCCTGTAACGACGATGCAAATAGCCTCATGGTGCCCAGGTGAATAAGCAACGCCCAAAGGAGCCAGGCCACAAACATGTCATGGTAAAGCAACACCTGCATACCGCCCTTTAGTCAAGACTTCAAATCTTCAGCTCACGCACTGCTCATCACATACTGGCAGTCTACACGGCAGCAGAGCATTTTAATGTATTAATTCCTCCCCCACTGCGATAACTGCGTGCTTTTTGCAGCCCCACGTGGCAACGTCCTTTGGGGTAAATTAAAACGTTGTGAAACGCAGACGTTAAAATGAGCCAATTATAGCCTAACAAGACCGGAGCCACATCCTCAGTGTTTGCTTTTGGGTAATCCGAGTTGGGAGATTAGTTCGTGCACGTACAAATCGAAATATGGTGGACAAATTCACATCACCAAAAACACACAAGTGCCCGCCTGAAACTGCTGTTGCTTTCCTTTCTTTGTCACTGCTATGCACAAGTCGAGGGGAACAGTATTTGCTCGCTAGTGTGTGAGCCTCATCCTTGTGAATTTGATATGGTAAACTTTGAAGATCCTGTTTGAAGCTGTTAATTGCCAAGGCCAGCCAGTCGAAATTGTGATTCTGCTTACATAACACCATCTTTTAAGGTCCACCTAGTGGTGGGTTGATGAATGAACCTCCAGTGCAAATTAATTAAATGGGCACCATTACATTAAAATTGCAGATGCATTAATGCTCATTTACTTCACAAGATTAGACTTTTCTGACTCAGCTTTGTGGGAACAATTTAGTGTTTAAGCATTTTACAATATAGGATGTCAAACACATTTGAGTAGCACAGAAAGAATAAAATGTCAAGAGATGCAATGAACTCGAAATATCAATGTCACAGGCAGAAAAACAAGCGTGCGTAATAAAATCCCTGAATGTTTTACTGCACATCTTTATCACAAGTCACCTCACACAGAAGCAATATTGAATTATGTCGTTCATGGTAACACGAAGCTTACCCCCATTTTATTTTTAAACAAAGTCCCCATCGCGAATACCACTTTTGTTATATAAAATTTATTGAAATTAGTATGACAGTGGAAAGTCAACAACCCATTCAATCTCAAAAAGGAAAAAACCTACTCGGATTAAAATAAAACCGGTCATTCAGTTCTTCAGCACAACACCGTTCACAGCCACACTCGGTACAGACAGTGATAAGCACACCTGCAGTGCAGACGTACTGAGGGAAGTGGGGGGGGGAAATAACACAGGCGGAGCAAACCTACATTTAATCACAAAAAGCTACACTTAACCTATCCTCCTATCCTACCATTTCATTTGCTTGGTATAAAACTGCCAATATTTACTATCCCCTATTTCATTGACTGCTGCTGTGATGACACCGAAACCATAATCCATCAGTCTGTCCAAGTCATATGTACAGAAAGAGGCTCTTGACGAGGACTGCTACCTGAAAAGCGAGGAACAATCAAATTTGGCAAAAATGGGACAAGGAAGACAACCTAAATGCTTCCACAAAGAATGTCACTGCAGACAGACAGGGCACGCAAGGATGGCAGGTGGGTGGAGATGGATGGGCTCCCTGCAAAATGAAAATCTGGGTCGGGTGGGGGGGCTTTGGTCATTACGGTTACTGTCATCTGGCTATTTACATCGTCATCACCCTTACATACAGAGTATAAAAGCCTGTAACACGTCAAGGCAACGTCTAACACTGTCGACCAATCACAACTCATCAGACCAGGGCGGCACAGCATAACGACACTACTTCTGTTGCTCCAGAAGCCAACACAATTTGTCTTTATTAAATACTTTAAGAAACAGTCAAAACACCGAGCAAAGGAGAAATCACGGAAGAAAAAAAACTAAGGCCGCATAAAAATAACTCACATTTTTTTTCCTTTTTTGCTTCAAAATTGTTTTCTCTCAAAGCAACAGTGTCCGCACTTTCCAATTGGCCAAGCCCTGTTCTCAGTTGTGATTGGCTGAGCCGGTTTATTTTAAATTTGTTAATTCTCTTAATTATCTTCACTCGTCATCTTCTCCATCTTCACCATCTTCTTCGTCTCCCTCATCGTCAACGTCACGCTTCCGTTTTTGTCCCTTATTGGTTTCATCTTCTTCTGCACAAAGAGGAAAAAAAGTTATTAAGACACATGACTCCACAAATAACCAAGAGTAATATTTAATTTACAGTCCTAATCTTTGATGTTAAATTATGAAGTAACATACCCTCTTCCTCGTCTTCATCATCCTCATCTTCATCGTCATCATCCTGAAAAAAATTGACATTGTTTTGTAAATCAGTGCGCCTAACTAAAATATACCTACTCACTAGGAGACATCCTTTACCAGTGGCAAAATATAGTGATAGGTTTTTACCCTTTCAACTGTTACAAAAACTGACACCTTTATACAAGGCATCATGTTTGCAATAACCACAACGCAAGCAGTCAAAATGCAAACAAAAAGAAACAACTCTGATAATGATAAGGACAGTGCATATCATTATATTATTATCATGCATATCATCATCATGCATATCATTATCAGAGTTGTTTCTTTTTTTTTGCATTTTGACTGCTTGTGTTGTGGTTATTGCAAACATGATGCCTTGTATAAAGGTGTCAGTTTTTGTACCAGTTGAAAGGGTAAAAACCTATCACTATATACCTAATTACTTGAAAATAAATGCAAATCATCCAAGTCGATTGAACCGGTACGCTTACCTCATCTTCACTACCCTCGGCCTCTTCTCCATCTTCTTCATCTTCATCCTCCTCATCCTCTACTCCAACCTCTTCCTCATCAAACTCCTCATCCTCCTCCTCTCCATCCTCAACATCCTCTCCATCCTCTTCTGAAAGAGAAATCACGTACTCTACTTACACATCTCAAATTTAGATAAATATACCAAAGTGGTCTAAAAATCTTGAGATTAAAAAAAATTCAATTTCGTCTGAACAATCTGTTGTGTCTCAATACAATCCAGCATGTGGGTCGTGAACCAACAGTTTTTCTTGTAATCTTAGGTTTTTTCGGTAAAGTCACGTAGGTAAAACATCAAAATAAAAATAAAATAAAGATCACGACGTTTCGAAACGTCGTGATCTTTATTTTATTTTTATTAATTTTGATGTTTTACCTACGTGACTTTACCGAAAAAACCTAAGATTATGAATCCTTGCAGTCACGAAAGCTTCAAATCTAGAATTAAGTTTTTCTTGTGAACATGTGATTTGGTTTTCTCAAGTCCAAAAAGAATGCAATCAAGTTGAGGCTTAGTGTCATTCATGAAATACATTTTTACAGCTTGCCATCTTCGGATATCTTACCTTCATCATCCTCACCATCAATGTCACCATCAGAGTCTGGAGCCTCCTGGTCATCGCGGTCGAACCCGTCCAGGTACGTCAGCTGGGGCAGCAGTTTGAAAATACTGTCACGGTAGTCGTTTAGGTTTGTGACGTCGCAGTTGAAGAGGTCCAGGCTCTTGAGGCTTGCTAGCTTTTTCTGTGGAAAGAAAAAATAGAACAAGTGTTTATAATTGCACAGCTGCTTGCAAGTGAACATTCACGCAATATGCACACAAAATTACTTCGTGTAACAAATTATAAAACTGATCAATTATGCAATTTCAACAACACTTGAATTATTACCAGGGGCTCCAGGGTGCTGATGTCTTTAATCTTGTTGCCACTGAGGTTGAGGTAGGTCAGGTTTGGGGTTTTCTCAGCCAGAACGTCAAGGCCATTGGAAATCCGGTTGTCGCTTAGCTCCAGCTGTAATAAAGACACCACGTGACTCAACGGTTTCTCAACTCCCAATTCCTAATACATCCGCAACAAGCAAGCTATTTTAGATTTCTTACGCGTTGTTACTTGTACGTACCCTTTTAAGCTTAGCGAGCTTGGGAAGGTAGGCCACCGAGATGAGACCGACGTTGATCATACTGAGGAATTCAAGCTCTCCAAATTCCCCCGTCAGCCCTTCGATCTTGCCGTCATTTGACCGACAGTTGTCAAGCACAAGCTCTTTCACCTGAGAGAAAAAAAAACATCCCATGAAAAATGTCAAGTTAATACCTTTGGTTAAAGTGCAGCCCCCCCCCCCCCCCCAGCAAAATCACTCACGCGCTAGTCTCCATTTTACCCGAATGACATCTGTGAAACTGCGCTTTGTAGCGCATTGGATTCCTCCTAACGTAAACATTATGATTCTGAAATGCTCTCTGCAACCAGCCCACACACCCAATGCCAGCCTGGGGCCATTCCATCAAGAAGCTCTCAGCCACCATGGCACCATTTGTGGGCAATTCTCTCTGTGCCAGCCCCACACCAACAATGCCACCAATGGTCACAGCAGCATCAAACGTGGGCAAGGCTGGCAGAATTAATGTGGCAAGCTTGTAATTGTGTTGCTGCTCAAATTGGCCATTGCAACACAGAGTGTTTGCTTGCGGTTCTAAAGGAAGAACTTGGCTTGTCAAAGTTGGCGGTGCGGGTCTTTTGTGACAGAATAAAAAATCTAATGCATTTTTTTACAGAAAATTACGTTTTATATTCCCATTTGCCAGCGTCTATCGTTAAGCGTGTTAATTACCACGTAGAAACAAAAAAAATGTCCACGTTATTTCATATTGGGTTGGCCTTAGACAACCGTTGCTGTCAAGAAACTGTGATGTTTGGTAAACCGTCATTTACGTAACAAGAGTTATGTAAGTGGAGTGGGGGGACAGGCATGGGCGATTAACCGATCAGGTTTATTTACACAACAAATGTGTGTACAACGGATTGCTCTCTAACACGTGGTAATTTCTGTGCGAATAAAACAATCGGGTTAAATGTTTATTCATTTTTTTGTGCCACAGTTTTAGAAGCCCCCGAGGGGAGGGGGTAGAGACATGAGAGCGGGAAGCGACGTCGCGCGCCATTTTGCGAGTTTTTCAAACGCGGCCGCGCGCATGCGCAGACGGTGCTGGAGGGGGGGAAAGACTCAGCGCCGTCCATCACGGACGGCTCGCGCCACTGCGCATGCGCGGGGGCCTCCCCCCCCCACTCAACATGAGGGCACTTTCGTAACCCATTCAAATGGAGCCCCCCCACCCACACCCCTTTCCCCTACCACCTCACACAACATGGAGGTAACACGCGGTGACGGCTACCAAACCGCGGCGAGTCGTTAACCTGTAACCCAACGTGGCTTACCGCGGCGTGCGCGCAATTAAGCGCCATTCAATGCCCCCCCCCCTCCACCACACTTTAACACAACACGTGGCGAAGGCCGCTAACACAGCGGCAAGTTACCACGAAGCGAACACTTCACCTTACCCAACATGGCTACCGCGCAGTCAGCGCCACGTGGTTACCCTATCCCCTTCCAATATGGTTGGTCGGCGTGTTTTTTTTTGGTTGTGCAAAATATATTTGTATTATTATTTTTGTTGTATTAATCCCGAAGAGTCCGGGGCGGGTTAGATTAAGAGCTTTGCAAGAGTTGGGGGTGGGGGAGTTTGTAGTGGCTGGTGGTGGTTGGCGATGAGCGAGAAGGGACTGACGGGAGGGTTGAAGTGTTTGGTGGTGGGGGGGTGGTGGGGTGATGGGGGGGTGATGGTGGGGGGAGGGGGGGTGATGGTGGGGGAGGGGGGGGGAGGGGGGGGGTGATGGTGGGGGAGGGGGGTGATGGTGGGGGGAGGGGGGGTGATGGTGGGGGGAGGGGGGGTTGATGTGGGGGGGGGAGGGGTGGGGGGTGATGGTGGGGGGAGGGGGGGGTGATGGTGGGGGGAGGGGTGGGGGGGGGATGGTGGGGGGAGGGGGGGTGATGGTGGGGGGAGGGGGGGTGATGGTGGGGGGAGGGGGGTGTGATGGTGGGGGGGTGATGGTGGGGGAGAGAGGGGGGGTGATGGTGGGGGGGGGGTGATGGTGGGGGGGGTGATGGTGGGGGGGGTGATGGTGGGGGGGGGTGGTGGAACGCGCGGCTCTCTCGCCACCGCCGCCGCCATTCGCGCGCCTCGCGTCCCCCCCGCCCGCAGTCAACGCGGGCGCGGGTCGAGCTCCCGCCGCCATTGCAGCTTCGCGTTACTTCGTTTATTTTAATCTCGCGGGAGGGGTTTTATATAAAAATTGACGGTCGGCTTTTATTTGTTTATTTGCGCTTTCGTCGAACAACAATAAGCGGCGTGTTTGGTCGAGGCGAGGGAGGCGGTGACGAGCACGATGTTAATCCACCACGGAGCGAGTTTATTTTTTTTTAAACACAGAAATCCCACTCGCAGCTATTAATTACGACGACTATGCTCACGGTTTAATAGCGATAACGTGAATATTTATCACCGAATAATCGGGGGGTGGTGGTTGTTGTGGTGGGGGGGTGGGCGTTAAACACAAAATGGCGATCGCTTCGCTCGTCCCGTGTCGGCGCTCTCACGACGCCGCGTTCATCACGAAGACGACGACGAAGACGACGGCAGAGAGACAGAAAGCGAGAGACAAGCAGACGGAGAGAGTGTTGGGAACCCCGTAGTGGTTGGGGGGAGGGAAGAGAGCCTCGCAAACGACGACAGCCGCGCCGTTCTCTTATCTCACGCGAATCGACCGCCGCAAAGCTCAACAAAAATTAACACGACTATCGTTTTAATATTAATCCACCCCCGTCGTGAAATGCGAGAAAATACGCGTCCACTACAACTAAAAAGTAAATGTTTGGAACATTTCTCCACGTCCCGAGTGTTAAGTCGGCGGCAACGCCGCCACGCGTGTCCGTGCGCTGTAATTGACTGCGCGGGGGGTTGTTGTCTTTCTTTAAGAGTTGACGACGGCTTTTAAGATGTTTTCATGGGGATAAGATAGGAGGGGAAGGTTGCCGCTAAACTTTAACAAGCTCTTTGGCTTGTGTTACCATAGCTGTGTTGTAATAAGCCGTCGTTTGGTTGGTAATTAAGAGATGTACGCGCGGATTCCGTTTTCGCCATCAAAGTTTTGTTACCAAAATAGTGAACGATGTTCACGAGACGCAACAAGGTTCGCGATTAATAATAAAAAAATACATAAAACGATGCTGGTCGTGTAACAAGAATGTTATTACGTTAAATGTGGCAACTCGATAAAAGAAAAGAATTGCGCCAAATGGCTTCTCCCCCCCCCCCCCGTGCGCATGGCGGACTCTACAACTACACAACCACACAACATAATAATAATATAATAATAACCACAACACTTTAAAAGCCACACTTTAGTCACCTCGTACAATAATAACGGGCCAGTAATAGCCGTAAATAGCAAACAATTGGTCGATACAATAATTTACCACGATACCATATTTTAAACATGAGCAACCAAATACGACAACATTTTTTATATTTCTACACGATTCCTCCCCCCCTCTCTCTAATCGATTTCCACCTTAACCCATTTCATCCGGATGTATTTTTTTATTCTCTCCACAATTACACTAATTTTGTATTCTACAACAACCACCACTACTGTATTATGCTGTAGTCCACATGCCGCCCGACAGCGTTGCTTTAAAAATGACGAGTGGGGACATCTCTCGCTACATCTCTTATCTCTTCTAACAGCCCTCTTACTCTACAGTTTTCTCTATTTACCGATACATTGTGTATATATATGTTTGCACGTGTATATACTCTTTCCATTATGTCCGCCTTCGTTTATTCTGTCCCCTCCCATGCTGCTTCAGCGGCCCGGGTGGTCGGGCCATGTGGCCTCAGACTACACAAGAGAACGTGCATTTTACTACTACTACTGCTGCTGCTGCTGTTGTTGATCTACAACAGTTTACTGTAAATAATCACACACCAACAACACCACCATCCCACTACTACCCCCCCCCCCCCCACCAAAAATATAACCAAACAATAATCTTACTTGTGCCGGGGTCCTGTTGCGCAGTTCCAGGTGTACTCTCTTCTTCATGTCCATCTCGACAAGGAGACGCACGAGGTGTGCGTGTGTATGTGTAAAAAGAGGAAGGAGGAGGGGGGGGTAGCAGCAAAAAAAATAGCGAGAGCGCTAAGGTGGAGGGGGGACCCCGAGACGTCGAAACGGAAAAGAAAAAAAAACAATTTAAAGATAGTAACGCTTTTAAAAAATAAGAGCCGGTATTTAGGACTAATGGAGCGTCGGTGGAGAGAGAAAGACGAACGGAGAGGTTCTCGTTGAAATTGCTGCTCCTGCTTAATATTGTTGTGCGTGGCTCAGCCCAAGTCTCGGAACACGCAACTAACAATGTCGGCCGAATTCCCAGCTCGGCGCGAAAAGAGCGGCTGCCCGCCTTGTGCCGGGGCTGATGGGGGATGTTACTTCTTATGGCTGCTCCACGTGGCCCTCTACTGGCAGCTGCTGCTGATGCTGCTGCTGATGATGCCCCTTGGTGTGGGGATGGTGGCTAGAAGTGGTAGTGTGTGGTTGGGTGGATTGAGGCTGATGGTGAGTGGAAGTGTGGTTCGTGGTGTGGTGGTGGTTGGGGGGGAGTGACACTGACGGTGGGGTCATTGATAGTGTTGTTGGAAGGTGGAGGATAGTGGTTAGAAATGATAGTGGTTGAAATTATGGGGTGGCCCTTCCTAATTTTTGTTACAGCTTTTCAACAGTCATACATGTCCAGTGCAGCCCATTGATCATATATACATTTAGGGTATAAATATAGTTATTACACATATAGTAGTGTGTGGTTGGGTGGTTGAGACTGTGATGGTGAGTGGAAGTGTGGTTGGTAGTGGTTCGTGGGGGATCGTGGTTTAGAAGTGGTGGTGGTGAAAGTGATTGGACGCGGTAGTGTTGGGGGGGGAATGACACTGACGGTATAGTCATTGATAGTGTTGTTGGAAGGTAGTGGTTAGAAATGATAGTGATGGGGATGACAGTGGTTGAAATTATGGGGTGGCCATTCCTAATTTTTGTTACAGCTTTTCAACAGTCACACATGTCCAGTGCAATCATTGATCATTTTGGGTCTAAATATAGTTATTACACATATAGTACATATAGCAGCAGATTGCTATTCGCTGGTGATGAAAATACAATCCACAGTACATAACATTTGTCACGCTAAACACGTGGGTTTAACACAGCACATTAATTATAATATCCAGGACAATTACAGATTTCATCGTACATCAGATGTCATCGAGAGCATTGCAACAAAATCAGTACCTATAAGCTCCCGCATTCTCCCCACTTTCATCCCGTACTGACCAGCGTGGTTAAAGATAGTCAAATAACCCACACAACCTGCACGGCGTTTGGTGGCTTTCATCAAAGACTAATTCACGGGCACATGGATAAAGTATGCACTCAGGCGCATGCATACACGTGGTTAACTGATGCTGTGTGCTCCAAGCACGTGTATCGACACATGGATTAGCCAGTATACACGCATTAACTGTACAGTATATATAAACTTACCTGTCATTTCTCATATAAATAAATATATGTATCCATCGGCTTATTGGCTTGACAGACCATTATTACCAAGCAGCATTTGTTTTAGCGGACTACAGTACTTGCATATGGAAAACGAATGTGGACGCACGTCCACATTTCTATGAATAGACTTAGGAGCTGCACAGAATGTATATATACATACAGAAGAATATGCCCATGCGGAGTTACACGTGGCGGCGCAAGGCATATGCAAACTATGCAAAAGTTTAGGGCCCTAAGTAACTCAAGTGGCCCTCAATGTAAAAATCTAAACGCACCAAATATCTGCTCGAATTTAGATCCTAATGAATGTAACACGCAAATGACCAAAATAACTCTAGTCTTCTCATCTGTTCTTATGTATAACTTCTCTTTTGTCTATTATCTCACTTGGAGGCTATACATTTAAATGGAGTGCCCCCAAACATTGTCCGTTCAATGGCACTCAATGGCCCGGCACCACCACTGACTGCTATACACGTGGAAATGTTGCACTCCACGTGGGCAGAGGAGCACACGTGCGTGCGAGCTGAGAAACTAGTGACTGCTGTATGACTGTGCTATGCATGTTTGTGTTGTGTTGTGTTTTTGTGATGTGCTTATGACATGTGTACACATTTGTATGTTCTGTACCTGTATGTTAAGCATGATACGTCTGTTGTGTGCTGTGTAACTATCTTGTATGGTGTGTATGTACTGTATTGTGTAATGTTCTTTTTTAATGTGTGTTGTAAGTATTATTTGTAGTGCGCGTGTCGTATGTCCTGTGTGTAGTATATGTGTGTTGTGTGTTTTGTGTGAAGCACGTTGTGTAGTGTGTGCTGATTATATTGTGTGTAGTGTATGTATATTGTGTCAAGTGTGTATGTATTGTGTCGTGTGTACGTCATGTTCTGGATTTCCTGTATCGTGTGCATGTATTATGTATTTTATGTGTGTGTGCATATATTGCGTGTGTATAGTGTGTATATGTATTATGTAGTGTGTGCATGTATTGTGTAGAACTGTATAGTGTGTATATATTGTGTAGTGTATATGCATTGTGTAGTGTGTATGTATTGTGCAGTGTGTGTGTATATATTATGTATGTATTGTGTATGTATTGTGTAGTGTGTATGTGTTGTGTAGTGTGTGTATTGTGTAGTGTGTGTATGTGAGTATGTATTGTGTATGTGTGTATGTATTATGTGTATGTATTGTGTAGTGTGTATGTATTGTGTAGTGTGTATGTATTGTGTAGTGTGTATGTATTGTGTGTAGTGTGTGTATGTGTTGTGTAGTGTGTTGTGTAGTGTGTATGTATTGTGTGTATTGTGTGTATGCATTGTATGTGTTGTGTATGTAGTGTATGTATTGTGTATGTGTGTATGTAGTGTGTATGTATTGTGTGTGTAGTGTGGTGTGTATGTAGTGTGTGTATTGTGTGTGTTGTGTATGTGTGTGTATTGTGTATGTATTGTGTGTATGTAGTGTGTTGTGTATGTGTGTGTATTGTGTGTATGTAGTGTGTATGTATTGTATATATTGTGTGTAGTGTGGGTGTGTGCTGCGCTATCCGCGCAGCACCACGCAAGGCTGCGCTTGCGCTGTGTCCGTGGGTCGTGACGGAATCAGACAAATTACAAAAGCAATGCACACACGGAACGCCGCTTTATACACCACGATGCATAGCGGTGCGCATGCTGCGTGCATATCACGAATGCTTTAAAAAACAACATGCACGTGATAGCAGTGCAAGTGTTGCACATGGCATTGCATTCTTATTGATAGTATTTACACATCAAGGGCTCAAATGGCAGAAGGCATTTATCAACGAGCGTTTTTACCTGGTTATGTTACACAAACGTATGCAAGAATTAAATTCCGTGTGGAGTATTGCACGCGATTGTATGCGGTGTTGTGTCTCTGTGTACAGAAGCGTCTAGGGGTATCCGTCTTTATATCTTTTTAATAAAGATATCAGAGAGCCTACAGCTCTAATAAGACGAACGAATGTTCAGATAAACAGCGGTGATGTCAAGCCCTAACTCGTGCAATTGAAATTCCCACGATTTGGGTGGCCTCGCTCGCTGGCTGGCGTGTATTTTAATGATGGAATAACATGTTTTTAATCAGCAGTCGCTAATGACACTAATTTATTCATAATGTCCAGCTACGCTGAGAGAGCGCAGTGAGATTTGAATGGCCCCGTGTGGTGGTGGTGGTGGTGGTGGCGGTGCGCGCGCCTGTGAAGCAGCGACGTGGAGGTTCGGGGTTGGTGAATCACGCGAGGATGGGAGTGCTGAATCCCCGGGTCAAATAAAATCCCATGACGATGATTATTATATTCTTGGTAAAGTCACGTAGAAGGGAAATAATAAAATGATACAAATATAAAACAATGAAAATTCTCACGACGTTTCTACTGCAACACAAGCAATCATCATCAGGTGTGAAATCCACAGCAATGATTGTCTTGTGTTGCAGTCGAAACGTCGTGAGAATTTTTATTGTTTTATATTTGTATTATTTTAGTATTTCCCTTCTACGTGACTTTACCGAAAGAACCAATAATATGAATACCTGCAGTCACGAAAGCTTTAAATCAAGATGATTATTATGTTGATGCGCTTGAGAAAATCCTGATGAACAATGATAATAATCTTGTTTTAATGGGGGGTACGACACATTGAGAGAGTGGGGGGGGGGGGGTCGTCGCCCAATATAGTATGTTAAACTTTAAATGTTTGTCAAACGCTAACCATAATGATATGAATTCAGCCCTAGCTCACCCTCTGTGTATTAGTTATGGGTGCAGGGCTAATTTATCTTGAAAACTGTTTGAGTTAGTGAACCGTCTATCTTCTGTGTGAATTGTATTGCTGCATTGGTTAGCACACTCCTCTGACCCCGGCTACCCCCGAGTTCAATCCTAAGCCATGGCTAACATCAGTGACGAGACATCTGTAAATATCTTAAGCATTTCGTATTCACCTACTAGCACTCATTAGCGTGGTAAAATAACTTCTATGATCAACATCACAGAGAGGCCTTCAGCATTGAATTGCTAACGGTTTAAACAGCTATGTTGTGCTAATTACATTGTTAACACATGTTAATTAACGTCCCTGTCATTGTTATGTAAAAACTGAGTGTCCTCGCGTTCCAAGATAATGTAGGGTGGTGCTCATAAGGGTTTCTAGTCTTTCATCAAACGTAACAATTCCACGTTTGTATGGCGAGTCAGTCTATCCATATAGCATCGTGGTGATAGTCGTGTATCAGAGCCCCGTAGATATCGGATGTGCTCAGCTTCTTTTAATTTCCGAGCTTCATTTGATATACGAACTGTCTTCAATAGTTGGCAGAACCGCATGGATAAAATGCGAAATTAGCACAATTACGTCTTGGGCTTCGTAGCCTAGCGTGGGGGAGGGGGTGGGTGAGAGCTCAAACTGAATGCACCATAGAAGGGGGAAAAGGCAGATAACATATCGTTTCTCAGTCTGTTTGGCGTTTTACATTCATTTAAAGTTTGTTTAACATTGCCTCTGTTCCCTCCACCTCCGTTCTTTTTGCGTTCCCCCCATTAACCCAAGGTCATCCAACGGAACACTATTTGGTAGTGTGAATGCCATTGCTTTTTTGCAGTGCGGTGTTGATGTGGTACGTGTAGTATTGGTCCCTGTAGGGGGCGATACAGATAATAGGGTTTTGGCAATTTCAAAAGGGCTGGCTGTACGAAGTGTAACATGTTTTCCTCTCATGTGTGGGATTTCTCACAACAAATACATCAAAATCATGCTACAAATGCTTAAGTAGAACCTTCATACCACAGTCTTTAAAACTCACCAAGACTTACATCGGTAAACACCCTATTTCAACAATATGTA